GGGTCTTCCACGCATCGAAGCTGGCCATTTACACGCCACCTTCAGCTGACGAGTTCCCTGGACGTCGATCACAGGATCCGCCTTCTATGGACGGACATCAGGAAGTTGACCGAGTCATCACGCACTGCAAGTATGGCAACAAGCCAAGGCAGTACAAAGTCACATTCAAGCAATGTGCGCCTGACGACACTCGGTGGATCTCCAGTACAGATTTGCAGACTTCTGCACCCCTCATCTTCGCCGACTATGAGAAGCGATGCCTTGCTAAGGACGCAGCTCGTCCCGCCTGACCCAACCCGGTATCGGACAGACAACTTCGCCCTCGCAGGTAGCTTGGTCTTTAAGAGGGGGAGTGTGTTACATCTTCGACGCACACGGGTCCTACCGGACCCGACTTAGGGCCGGAGGGACACACCAGGGCCTAAAGGCCCGACCTTGGGGTACTACAGGCCATAAAGGCCTCACCTTGGACCAGACCCGACGGGCAGGCCCAAACGACATTACCGTTTGGGCCTGGCGGCGCTCTTGAGGCTGCCGCCCGCCGGTTGGGGCTGAACCGTCCATCTGGACGGTTCAGGGCACGGCCAGGCCTCGCAGCAGTGAGGCCGGCCTCTGCCCACCGGTATAAAGAACCGGTCCGGCCTCACTTCAGGGATCGACCCACCGGCACTCTACGCGGTGTGGTAAGGTCGGCGCCAGAGCGCCGTTTGAGCGCTATTCTGAGCGCAGGAGGAAGGACAGCAGCAGCGCGAGCTAGAGCAGCGACAGCAGCGAGGACAGCAGCAGCACGGCGGCCATCACCGCCTCAGCAGCAGCAGGGCAGGTACCAGGAGGCGAGGATCTCTTCCTCCCTCCACGGTCCCGTTCCCCTCCTCCTCACCTCCGTCTTCTCTCTCTCTCTCTCTCTCTCTCTCTTCTTCTTCTTCTTCTTCTTCTTCTTCTTCTTCTTCTTCTTCTTCTTCTTCTTCTTCTTCTTCAGATTCCTCTTCTTCTTCTTCTTCTTCTTCTTCTTCTTCAGATTGGAGACTTGTACTAGTTGGACAGAGATCAGAGTTGGACTTCGGTGATATGAGACTGTGGTACTTACCTGATTGGAGACTTGGAGATTGTTGGGGTTGATACTCGGCTCCATCACAGTTCGGACACCGGTTACATTTGGACTCTGTGCCTCCGACATTGGTGACCTATTGTCCTTGACACTTTGATCTTGTTGGATGACATTTTGGACTACCATATCGGTGACCTATCAGATTCTATCTCGGTGACTTTCAGTGCTGTCTACCTGCCTCACCTCCTTCGTCTCTCCTCCCCCATTCATCTGTGTATGTTGTGTACGGGGCTGAGCACCTTCTTTGTATGGCTCAGACCCCACCATCTCASGATTGTATGTGTGTGGAGTGATGCTATATGAGTCAGTCTATGTGAGTCAGTTCGTTTATCAGACTTCCGCTGCATACATGCTCATCCTATATTGGTTGATCTTTGGTTCTGCTCATACTCATCGAAGTATGCAACAGTATGGCTTCCTTTAAGATATCTTTCCAGTTTGTAGGGATTTTGTCCAAGATATAACGAAGGTTGGGTCCTCTTTTATGACAGCCCTTCAGTATCATCTTCAATTCTTGTTCATTTATCTATTCCTTACTTTCTTCCTTCCATATATGACCGACTGTCCATACTCCGTTTTTGATCCAAGAGAGCCATTTCTGTCCTAGGACCAGGGGGTTGTCTGCCTCGTCGGTTACCCAACTGTTACCAAAAAGTGGTTGTCTTAGGACCTCGCCGACGGACCTCGGTCTGTTTACTCTTTTTGGTATTATTTCTCTCCATATCCGGATCAGTGCCGACCAGTATGGGGTGGTAAATTTACTTATGTATTAGCTTGTGATAAATTAAAAACAGGTAGCCCAGTCATGATGCACATCGTGTGTTAACTTAATCTGTGCCTCAGCCACTCAGCTGTGCTGGGGGTGTGCGACCATCTTCCCCGGAACATAACGAGCCCTGATTTTGAATGTATACAGTCGATCTTTGCGGTCTGATACGGTCATGATGAGGGTATTGTGCTTGGGGGAAGACCGCAGTGATACAGAAAAAAAAGACATACAGAACAGTTTCTTGTCTGAAGTGCTCAGAACTGACACCCGTCTGCATCAACTCAGCTGTTACAGGCGATGATACTCATTACCGTATACCTGCAGATTGAGCTTAAACTTAAACCATACGTCCATGCCATACATCGACCGTGGGCCTCCTCAACGAGACGACTGCCGTTGATTTATTTTATCGACGGCGTGAGAGCCTCCGAAAATTTAGGAGAGGCTCATTCGGCTTCTTAACTTGGCGGGGACCATGTACTGGTGGTTTAAACCGCTAGTACACGGCCCTGCAATCGGACTCGCTTTCTTCTTCAACTTGCATACATGCAAACAGATGGTAAACCAAACTGGTGCCAGGCGCCCACACAAAGCTCAGAGGTATGGAGACCAAGAACACAGTTCAGATACAAACTCGCTTCAAACAGGCTATGGTGCCTGATCGCCCAAACATTTCACTGCCGACACTGTGTCCACCACCACTGTTCGCTTACACTCAACTCTGGATCACCCTGAATATCCCACGCACACACATACTGTATCAGACACGCACCCTCACTACTTCCTAACACTAGCTATGGCAGCTATGGCCGCCGGCTATCCCTAACTTCAAGCAGCTATGGCTGCGTTATCTCCTTCTCAGCCCACTTCGACTTCGGGCAACTGCAGACCACCTCGCACAAGATGCTAAGGCAGCGCTTCCACATGGCTCACGCAGGAATGAATGAATGGCTGGACGCTGCCTCTTGATTTATACTTCTGTGAGTCACTGGTCTGCCCTTTTCCACCGAGCCCATGGTGCACACAATCCCTCATGGTACTTGCTGACTGTACAAAGTGAGGCTGGGACTGGGTACCGCTGACTAAGCGAAGTTGGACTCACCACTTGCCCACTTGCCTCTGGTGTGCTGTGTATAACGTGAGAAGAAACTTGAAAGGCCACTTCCGAACCTTCCAGAAGTTTGCAGACTTGGCCTTTCAGGACTGTAGCAGCTACAACCTTGACCTTTCAGGACTGTAGCAGCTACGACCTTGACCTTTCAGGACTGTAGCAGCTACGACCCTGACCTTTCAGGACTGTAGCAGCTACGACCTTGACCTTTCAGGACTGTAGCAGCTACGACCTTGACCTTTCAGAACTACAACAGCTATGATCCCTATGCAGGTATGACCCTTACTTCGACAGGTCTAAGTTTCAAGACCCGACAACTACTCAAACCTATGGCAGACAACTTTCAACTACTAACACACAGGTCACGGGTTCAAGGCACACAAGTTCGACTTGTTATTGTACACATGTAAGGTAAGGTCTGGGGATCGATCCCTGGGATCCGCATCTGTGACTGCAAAAGGTGAAAACCGTTTCAGCCCCAGCCTTGCAGAAATTTTTTGTCACCACAAGCGAATTTCGGAAGCGTCGCGGGGCCAGGCCCGCCGTTGGAAAAAAAAAATCAGCAGCCTCCGAGTGGTGCGGGTTTAATGCTGACACCCGCGGGCTAATATGTGGTGTACTGGTGCTTTAAACCACCAGTTTACCTTTCCTGGCTTGAAAAAAAATACTGCGGCGGTTAACACGGAAGTTCGGCGGGGAATTGAAATGGCTGGCGGCACCAGCCAGATGCATCTGTGTTGGCTCGTTTTTCTCTGGCGTGCAGGGAAAATTCAGGCCCGCGGCTGATATATGGGAAAGGTACTGGTGGTTTAAGGTCCCCAAGACATGAATGCCTGTTAACTTCAGGTGGGTTAAGTGAAAGACCAGTTTGAACTTGAAGCATACTAGTCGGACCAGTAGTTATGGATCCGTACCTCTGGGCCTAAGCCCTCCTCCGTGCAAGCGCAGATTCGAACTGGCAACTTTGGCCTCAAGAGCCAAGTATGTTAACCACTACAGCCAGGACATGATGTTTAAAAAGCGGAACCATACTGGTCATGATATCCACCCCATCCCTGCAAGGCTGTAGTGTCCAAACTCAACACACATCACATGGACGCTGGCAATTCTCGCACACCTTGCTCCAAGTAGCACGTGACCGCCACCTGTAATCGCCCGCTCACTTATGCGGGTCTCTTATCTTCCTGCCTAATCACGAGAGCTTTCAACAATAGCTACGGATCCGTGCCTCTGGGCCTAAGCCCTCCTCCGTGCAAGCACAGATTCGAACCGGCGACTTCGGCCTCACGAGCCAAGTATCTCAACCACCACAGCGAGGACCCGGTGTTTAAAAGCAGAACCATACTGGTCATGATATCCACCCCACCCCGGAAAGGCTGCAGCGTCCAAACTCAACACACACCACATGGACGCTGGCAATTCTTGCACACCTCGCTCCAAGCAGCACATGACCACCACCGGTAATCGCCCGATCACTTATGGGGGTCTCTTATCTGCCCACCAGTTCGCTGGAGCTTTCCACAGTCCTTATGGATCCGCACCTCTGGGCCTAAGCCCTCCTTCGTGCAAGCACAGATTCGAACCAGGACTTTCCTTCATGTATCTCACCACAACTGCAGCTGTCTGGGGATGCATCTGACCGCAATTACGTGCAGAGACAGTCAAATAAGTCCTAGCGTTAGTAGGCGCTTAAGGCTCAAAGAACTTGTGCACCTGTTAAGCTCTACTCCGGTTAAGTGGCAGGCGATTTGAATTTAGAAAATAAAAAGAAAAGTCCGTCTGAATTTTGAGCTGATCATGAGTGGTTGGTTGTTTTTGTGTGGTGTGGACAGACCTTCCGGGCAAGGCGAGAGATCACCCGAAAGCAGGATGCACTGGACCAGGCTCTGCATGCCCAACTGGTGGTGAGTCCTCTCTGGCATCAAGTCCCAGGAGTAAGATGCAGGCAGCACCAGTGCTATGTTCATTCTGCGAAAGTGCGAACGCACCTGGCTGTTATAGCATCCAGGTGCATGCTATCTTAGCATGTATGAACATAGCACTAGTGGGCCTCCCCTTTAGAATTGTTTCGTCACTGTCCTTTTTTCCTTTTCTCCCCTCCCTTCCCCCATCCACCCCTACCCCCTGGTTCTCCCAGGTCTGCCTTTTGTTTGTTCCTTTGGACAATTAGGCCCGACAACTTGAACAGAAATAATTATGTCATCAACCCAGCACATGGAGGTTGATTGTTATGGGCCAATGATTCAGCGGTTTCAAAAACAGACCCGATTTCGAATCCTGGTCCAGTCAGGTGAATTGAAATAACTCTGAATTACTTGGGGCTGCTCAGTTTGCTAATAATACTGCAAGGCCATTGAAATCAAACTCGTCTTCTTGTCACTTTGTCATGCCTGCAAACAGCGGTACAGCAACTGGTGACATGCGCCCACACAGTACTCAAGATATCGTAACCAGATATAAGTTCTCTTCAACTGGCTATGGCGACTGGGCGCCCACACAACTCACTGTTCGCACTCTGGATCACCCTGGATGTCCCACACGCAACACTCAGTATCATACACAACACACACACATACTATGCCACAGCTATGGCAGCGCTAGCTG